CTCATAAGACTTCGGCAGAGATAAAAATAGTAGAAGCGTCTGATCCTCATCTTCAACTATCACATCTATGTCTTTCAAGTCTGATATGATCCTATCAAACTTGTTGATGTATTCCCGGATTGATGACCCCTCCTCCATCTTGCAAGTATACAATTTAGATTTTAAATAGATCCGGCTCGTTAGACTCTTCGTCATGAATATGCTTTCTAACTTCGACCACACGCCCGCAGTCGTTTCCTCTCCATCTACCAAGAAAGCTACATCTCTTTCAACTTTCTAACTTCGACCACACGCCCGCAGTCGTTTCCTCTCCATCTACCAAGAAAGCTACATCTCTTTCAAGGCAAAGGATAATCGACGCCCGTGCTTCCAGATCCAGCTCCTCACAATCCTCATCAGACATATCACTGTGCTTCTTCTCTTTTCCCGCCAAAGCTTTGTGTAATTTCTATGAATTTTCAATCTGCATCCTCTAATAGGAAAAATCATTCTTCCCATTGAATTTTCAATCTCATATTTTCCCACTTTAACTATTTTACTTGTTGACGTTATTCTCCGCTTGTATTAATAAATCCGCTTCTCTCAGGATTTCCAACAAACACCTTGTGTTCACCACCTCAGAGGAGAAATTTTACCACCTCTAATCTGAATAAAAGGGCTCTGATACCAATTGTTGGGCGCAGAGTCATACCCTCACGTCGCGGAAGCGATATCACCTGAGAGATAACCCTGGTTTTTGTTATTACAAAAGCACAAGTCAACCTCTATATTCTCATTTATCAAAGAAAATAGGAATAGAAAGTAAAATATCTTAACAAAGTAAAATATACACTCTTCCTCTCATTAGTTCTAGGACTGAATTGTTGAGGGAACCTACAAGAAATAGCAAACATAGTAAAAACAATAAAGACCCAAGATTTACGTGGTTCGGCAAACTTACCTACGTCCAAGGGAGGGGGTGAGGGGAGATTCTACTATGAGAAGAACACTGACAACTTGTACAATCCACAAGCTCGTCTCAAAGAAAGGATCTGATTTTTTTACCCAAAAGAAATTGATTTCTCTTCTCAAAATCTCTCTTTTTAGATCTGCTTTTCTTCTCAGAACAGCCGCCAACAAAACCTCCTTTTTCCTGCATTTTCACCACGCACAGCCGACTAAGAACTCTCTCAATATACCCTTTCCCACTACAACGAAACCTAGGAACCCCTATTCTATTTATAGTAATAAGAAACATAGGGAACGGATCAACATGGGCTTGCTGTTCACGTGTCTGCGCCCGCTATCTTCTTACACGCAAAAAAAAAAAAGCTCACCTGATTGCTATCTCCTCATGCGAGAAAAGAGAAGCTCACACGGCAAAGCTTCTCACAAGCTTCTCAAGACACGTGATGTGTTTCGCTGAGCTACTGTTGCACCGCTCACATCCACTATCTTGTTTATATCGTTTCATGTTTATTTGCCCTTTATTATATATCCTTGCATATATCTTGTTGAATATCATTCTTTCTAGGATAATTAGTTAATACGTTTTTAATTAGCATTAACATCGGATTAGATTAGCATTAACCCTATTCACCCCTCCTCCCTCTAGGGTGCTTTCAAATCTCTCATAATACTAATTAGGCATTTGATTTGGCATCAAAGATATCCAAACATAATATTATCCTACAATCCTAATTGAATTAAAGTTTATATATTCTTTAATTGGAACACTACAACTCATTTTGATTAGACTTTACAATAATTAGGCACAAATAGTAGTAGTAGTTAGAATCATACCACACAGATTTCAAATGTTAGTCTTAATACAAAAATTAAAGTCCTAGCTATCACATTCACTCATCTGACTATAAAGGAAAAAATGCACATATGAAACTACATTTGAATAGGGTTTTGTATTTTTTTAATAATATAATAACACAGTAAGTTTTATCTTCATGTTCAGAAACTACATCTTTAACTTTTATCATCTTCGTTTACATGATATATACTTGAGGTTTTGTGCTTGCAAACAAAAGCAGTTTAACTTGAGCTCACATAAAGGCTACCACCACAAGAGACAACTAATAAATTCATCGGTAAATAATTACACATATACGAACCTGAAGAATCTAGACAAGGCAAAGAATGGTTCTCCAAAAGGCACTATGATAGCATCACTCAGAAAAATATAGAATGGTGAAATTTCTTAACCTTTAGGGGAGGGATTGGTTGGTTAACAATAATCTCTAGTTAAGGATTAATTGGTCGATATATAGTGAGTTTCAAAAACTTTGAATAGATAACTGAAAAATAGAGTTCAGTGTTTCCCATGGAAATGAAAAGAAAGCAAACATTTATGTATATGTGATATATCAACTGAAGCAGCAAACATGATAGCTATTTAATGTGATTTAGGAGGTTTAGCTAAATAAAGAGAAAGGCAAGAAATAGACTCACGTACCTTCCAATGTAGAGGAGGACAAACGGCACAACAGCGGAGGAGTGGCGAGCAAAGCCGACCGAAAAACAACTGCATGAGGAGGAGAATGCCAAAGTGGGGATTAGGTTTTTGAGAAAAAGGGGAGAAGGGGGGGATTAGGGTTAGGGTTTTCACCAAAGAGTAGGAGGCAGCGATAGAGCTTCAAGCGGCGACAACAATGTCCAATCGAGCGGTCGGCCTACTACTGAAGGAGGAGGAGGAGCTCAAATCAGGGAAGAGATCTATGACGATTATGAATTAGGGTTTTTCGGGGATGGGAGGAGGCAGAGAGAGAGCTCCGATGATGACAATGACAACGAGAGGAGGAGGGCGGCGCTGGTTTTGGCGAGAGAGAGGGAGGGAGGGAGGGAGGGAGGGAAGCAAAGAGGGAGAGAGATTGAATTTTTTGGGGGGAAATAAAACTTGGGGATGGGGCGGGCTCCCACCGATTTTGTGTATGGAAATCTGCATTACCCCAATGGGTGAAACAGTTGGTGCTGATAAAACTAACCCTAACGGTTCCTACCACCCGTTGGGGCTGCCCCTATTTGTACTAGTGCAAGTAGGGGGCAATTTTTGAGCTAGATCTCAACGATATATAACTGTGAATACATATAAGTGGTATATTGCAAAAAGAAATTTGAATGGGGGCATTTGCCTACAATGAGGTATATGTGGCTCCGCTATTGACAAATATAGCTATAGAGTTTCACTAACCATTGCCCTTAGGGTAATGGTTAAGGAAAGACAGAGAGATTTTTGCTAGGCAACAGTTAAGAAGGAAAGATAGAGAGAGGTGAAAGAGAAGAGAGTAAGTGGGTGTTTGGTTAAATTTCTATAAATTATAGGAAATGTTTTCCACCCAAAATATGATTTCCTTGTATTTCTTAAAAAAATTATAAGAAAAGTTTTGAGAAGTCAAAAAGTACCAATTTTCTTGTTTTTTTGCTTTGCTTGTTTGGCTCAAAACAAGAAAATGGCCCATAACTTTATAGAAAATAACAAGATTTCCTATAATTTATAGAAATTGAACCAAACACCCCCTAAATTTATAGAAAAGTGCCAACTTTATAGAAAAGAGTCAATGTGGTGTCAGATTTCTAGGTGATTTCTGTCCATTTTGATAGAAATTTGATTTCTGTAAATTTTGGTACTTTTTTGTACTTTACAGAAAACATTTCTGTAAATTTTTTTGAACCAAACACAGTTTACGAAAATCTAAAAAAAATTTAATTATAGAATTACCATTGTCAGATATTTTGAGAAAATTTTTCTATAAAATTGTGCAACCAAACACCCCCTAAGTGGAAAATATATAAATTGACAGCACTAGACATGTAAAAATTGAACGCCAACTGCTTCAATACGGAAAAAAAAAAAAAGATTTTTGGAGTGCCGATTGTAATTAAGAACCGAAAATATCTCTCTCTATAACCCAAGATTTTAGGCATGGAGCTATGATGAGTTCCACGGGTAGTATTGTAATTAAGTTAAACTTCTAACAGAGCTAAAGGGCCAATTAAAGAAGTGAAAAATGTTAATGAAATGGATAGAAACTGGATTTTGAGATCCTACAACTAATCTTTCACATACATTTTTGTACGGTATTTTTTATACCAAAAGTAGCCTTATTTATACTTTTTATATTATGAAATTGTTAATCTTTGTGCATATTATTTTCTCTTTTTTATTATTTTTCTTTTTTATTATTTTTCAAAGATAGAAACTGGCATAAAATGCGATATTTGGCTCTAACAAATTAAACTAAAAAAATCTACATACACATACAATTACAGAGATTTATCACTATTATATATAGGGCACGATTCTGGTCAAGATGAAATAAAAGCAGACACGTGATAAAAATGATTGAATAGTCTTAGTATTAGCTAAAAGTAAACTTTATTTGATTTTAAAATTAGTATAATTTATAAAGGGTTAATTGTGAGCAAAACATCCTGTAGTATCACCCATGTGTGAACAGACCTCATGTAGTTCTTTTTATTGTGAATATAACCCCCACAGTATTAATCTAGATGCGAATGCACCTCTTGGTGAAATTTTTAGACTCTTTTAAATGTCAAAAGAAAAGAAAGCAATAAGGAGTCTACCCCCA